GGATTAACAAATTGACAGCAATGCATCAGGATACAATGAAATCAATAAAATGATAAATGGCACTATTGCTTTGATTTCTTACTCATGCAAGTCTTCCCAGATAAAGAGAAATGAGTGTCATCTTAAAAATAAAAGGTAGAAGAATAGGTGTACAAAAAACCTAGCATTCATGGAGCACCTACGATGTGCCATGTGCCCAGCCTGTGCTTTGTCTGCATTGCCTCTTTAAATTGTGGGTCATGGGGGGACTTTCCGAAGGTCACAGAGTGGTAAATATAAGAACAGAAGCAAGTTCGTGGCTTTAGGTCACCCACCATTAGTTTATGATGCCCAAAGCAAATGGTTATGGTAAGAAAGCACTTCTCAGATTCCACAGCCATCAAGTTGAACACTCAGTGGTGTCTCTGAAATGCAAGTACTGATAGGACTAGGTTTATCACTCGAAAACATTTCTAAAACATCCTGAGTTGTTTGTTTTGTTTTGTTTTCAGGTAAAGATTCGCCCAACATCTGTTGCCAGTCTTCCTCTTTTTTCCCTCCCCAAAGCCCCCGTGCATGGTTGTATATCCTAGTTGTAAGTCCTTCTTAGTTCTTCTACGTGAGCCGCCACCACCGCGTGGCAACTGATAGACGGGTGGTGTGGTTCCACGACCAGGAAACGAACCTGGGCCAACGAAGCAGTGAGAGCACCGAACTTTAACTACTAGACCATCAGGGCTGGCTCTAAAATATCCTTGGTTTTGAGGCAGGAAGGTGCCCTGGAATGAGCTCCTACGAACCTCAGTTCACATCCCACCTGAGCCTTGGGTAAGACTCACCCCTATAAACTGCAGGTTCCTCAGCAGTAACAGGGGAGAAGTGGAGCCCATACCTCCCGGGGCTGTGTGAGGATTACATGAGATACGTATGAACAGCATTCAGCTTCCAGAGAGTGCTCTCTTACTGCTAGTTCCCTCACCCCCCCCTCCATCTTGAACTTAAAAAGTGGGTTTTATCGGAGTGGTGGTTGTTGCTTTTTTCCTAGTAATCTGTATCAGAGACTCAAATCACCTTTTCTACTAGCTGTATTCTTCTCTATATGAGTAAGAATTATGCTCCTTAGTAAAGGAGCCTGAGTCTTCTTGTTTTGTTGTTGCTTGTTATAATGTTTTTAATAAGGAAAACTTTTTTATGCTCTGAGAAAATTGTACCGTGATATGTATGGTGTTTAATGTACCAATTACAAGTAAGAATAAAGGATAACTGAAGAGCTTGTTCACAAAGCGGATTTCAGGATCTCCCCCTAGGAAAGTCAGACTGTAGGTCGGGGGCAGGGAGCAAGAAGCTGTAGTTCTAAATAAGCACCCGTGTGGATGCTGAGTGCAGGGGGCACTCCCCACACAGAGGAGGTGCTGACGTACTCAACCCACAATACTGACCTCCTAAAGGCTACTGCCTCTGTTACAAAATAACATGAAATATCAGCACTGAGGCTAAAGGATAAAACTATTCAACCTTAAAACCCCACAACACCGCATATTCTAAGTCAAATAAATCATACTGTAGCATGTATTTATATCTTGATAGACTAAAACATTAATAGCCAGTACATAAACGTTTCTGTATTCTATAGTTAACATACTCTGGGGGCATTCTGAAACCTTACATTGTTAATAGAACCATTCCCTCTTTTACTTCCACATTTCCTAGGTGCACATTTCTGCTTCTCCAGCCCAGCAGGTAGAGCTGAGAAATCCTCAGAAGGCAGGGTTGAAAAGAGAGCAGGACAGCTGGCAGCATCACCTCCTTGCTAAAGTGCACTGGGGAAAAGGCACGGTGTAGGAATCTTCCAGAGAACAGGACTCAGGGCAGAGTCCCAGGGATGCTGCCACCAAGCACATGGAAATGCCTTTTCCTTCTCTCCTCAGTCCCTTCTTGGATGGAGGAAAATGCAGACACTGGGGTCAAATAGGAGAAAGATAAGGAAAATACTGCCCAACTGTAACCTAATCTTTGAGAACAAAGATGATGACCTATGGAGAAAACTGAGAGAAGGTGTTTCATAGATGTTCTATGTTCTTTTAGGTGATGGGCAGGCAGGTGTGGCCACAAGAGGAGACACAGAAGCGGCTCAAGCTCAGGCAAATGAAGTTTCTTATACTCATAGGAGCTAGAAGCAGGATGCACAGCACGCCACACAGGGCGACGTGGGAAAGAACCAGCATCAGCCAGGAGGCAGAAGTGGCAGGAGAGCCTAGACCAAGACCTTCATCAGAGCTTTCATAGGAAAAGCAAGGCAGGGCAGGGTAAACAGTTTAGGATTGGCTACTCTGAGTAATTTCAGGGGGTGCTAAGGTATAAGAGTGCTCCCTGGGTACTTGGTACCTGGCCCTGGATGACTAAGGCAGAAGAATATTGCCTCTTGGGGTGTTTGGGCCAGATGGAGGCAGTGTGGCTCTGGACTGGTAAGTTTGCACATTGATGGCATGCTCCAGGCTGCGCCCTTTGCTATCTCTAAGAATTGGCTAGCCCTGAACGGGCAGTCTCTCCCCAACTAGAAAGATTTTTAAGGTGTCAAACACCATAATATACAGAAAATAAAAAATATAAATAATCCAATAGAACTGTCTACTCACCTCCTGCTTATTAAGAGGAGATTTAGGAGCCTCATCCTGAACCACAACTGAAACCCCGCCACGTCATGCAAAGGGAACCAGAGACAGCAACTTGGAAGAAATCGACTTTCCAAACCCACTCAGTACGTTGAATGTGACACATTTGCTCTCAGCTTATAATTGGGACATGCAAAGCTTTCCTGGACATAATAAAGGGGGACGGTGGTAGGAAGTGTTTGCAGGGTGGAAATGAGATGAAGGCACCACGGTGAGTTTTAATTGCCTAAAAAGCAACTCTCTACAACTTCTGGGGAAACTTTTGAAGAAGAAAACACAGAAAACAATTCAGCTTCAGAAAGCATCTTTGAACTTGTTTTCAATCTAACAGAGACCTGCAATGCGAGGCATGCCCTCTTCCAAATAGCCATGCAAACAGATGCTCATCTCCAGGAACTATACCTCTGACCAGCATCAAACAACTGGCTCTGCTTCCAAACACACCTTCTGAACCTCTTTTATGGATGCCAACAATATGAATTCCCTTAGATTCCATGCTTATAATAGAGAAGAGATGCCTACAAGAGCTTAAAGCATCCTGAGTCAGGATTTGTTTAAAACCAAGAATAACCAATTTTAGTTTGAGGCAGACTTTTTGTAATTCCCCTTTGCCACCCCAATTCATCCTAACACCCCATGCAGCCCTTTTTCTTTATTTTCCTCTCACATTCCCAAACACAGTGAAGGATTGCGGTACTTGCTTTTCTTTACAAATTATATTTACTTCTCTGCATTTAGAATCTAACCTTATGAACTATCAAGTCTGATGAATATGCAGGACAAGCTAATCAACAACAAATAATAACAGTTAATACTTGTTGAGCATCTCTTACCCGCCACCCTGCCAAGCATTGTACATGCATTATCTCCTTGAATCCTTAGAATTCTAAGAACTAGGTACTATTACTGTCTTCACTTTCCAGAGAAGGAAATCAAGGCCCTGCGAGATGAAGTAGCTTGCCCAAAGTCACATGGCTACTAACCAGCAAAGTCAAAATGTAGACCCAGGTGGCCTGACTTGAGAGCCAAAGGTGTAAGGACTAAACTGCTAAAGAGATGTGGTTAGTTTCCATGAACTTTTGATTTAGGCTAAAAGGGCATGCTCTTTCCATGGGAGCTCTAGCAGCCTCCGGCAGCCACAGTGCAGAGACATCATGCCACAGGAAGGCATTCCAAACCTGCCAACATGGAGGGGCACACTCCAGGCGGTACTCAGTCTCTGGATCCTCTAGAGCTGGGGAAAAGTGGCCACAGGTACACGTCCCAGCGAAGGTAGCAGTACCGGCTTGACAAAATGGTGTGGCTTTTTTTTTTTTTTTTAAATAAAGGGGAGAAATTAAATGGCAATATATGAGAATCATACTGAGATTTAAGGATCTTCATGCTAGCACTGCTGATCTTGAACACACAGCTCAAATAAGCTTAACATGTGGCTTCCCATGAAAGGATTAACCTGTTGCCAAATAAAAGTGTTTCAAAGAATTGGAATGTTGTCAAACTAGCTTAATATCATGAAATGGTACAACTTAATGAGACTCTATAAATCTTGCAGAATACAACACAGAGCTCTCTCTCTCCAAAGACTGATTTCACAAGTGGTTTGCCGTCTTTCCTGGGTGCGCACACACAGTGCTAGGTGAAATGCTGTTAACTTAAAGCTGTTTTTTTTTTTAATTGAGTAGAACTTCTCCCACCCTTCCCTTTACCCAATTCCTTTTGAACCACTTCATTAAATTAAAAAAATTTAGGGCCGGCCCAGTGGTTAAGTTCACAGGCTCTACTTCAGCGGCCCGGGGTTCGCAGGTTCGGATCCCGGGTATGGACCTGCGCACCGCTCATCACGCCATGCTGCGGCTGGCGTCCCACACATAAAGTAGAGGAAGATGGGCGCAGATGTTAGCCCAGGGCCAATCTTCCTCAGCAAAAACAGCAGGATTGGCAATGGATGTTAGCTCAGGGCTAATCTTTCTCACCAAAAAAAAAAAAAAATTTTTTAATTGTTAAAGTAAAAAATCTCAAATAGCTGATACAGTCATGCTAAATAGTCAGTTTTCTTTAAACATCTACTCAACCTCCTGAGACATAACACACATTCCTGAGAAGGGAAGCTCTAACATTAAAATAAAACTAACCAACCAGCAGCTCTGTGCTAGACCTCAAAGAGGGGGAGGATATACTGATGCTTAGGAATCAGCAACTGGCCTGAGATCTATTCCAAACTGAATATCAGTAGAGGGATGGAGAAGGGAAAGTGGCAGAAAAAACCCAGAGAGTTTTGACTGAACGGAAAAGGTAAGAAATCTCAGTTCAGTACCATCTGCTCCTGAGAAAAGTGTGACAGCTACTCACCTGTCTACTGCTTCTACGTCAAAGCAAAACCTCTTCTCAATAGAGTCTGTTTTCCGCCGTGTGCAAGATTTCAGGGTGACTGATTCATCTTCTCCCTGTTGGGAACACACAGACTATCAAGATGAGGCCAGAACGTGGGGTCTGCTCCTCTCCAGCACAAACACGACACATAAACAGGAATGATCATCTCATCTTCTCAAACCCTAGCGTTCACGACCACGGGAGGTAGAAGGTTGATCATAAACCTTCTCAGGCAAGAGTCTTATGCAGCTATAATTTGTAAACCATGTTCTACTTAGAGCCAAATGTCTTTAGCACTGGTAGATCAGGATGGTACATCATCAACCCATGCTAGACTAAACTCTTGTTGATATTGTTTTAATGTAATTTGTAGGTTTGATAAGAGTTGCAACAAGATGACCTTGAGGTCTCCTCCCAACTGAGCTTCTCTGATCTTGGATCAGGTGTCACGTCTCAGAAAAGCGTTTCTGGACCAGGTCAAATACCCCCAGATGGGTTTGCATGGCACCATGTACCTCTCCCTCCTTCATAGCACTGATCACAGCTGACACTTTCTGTTGATATGAGCGTTTATTCAAACACTGTCTGTCTCCTCCTTAGACTCTAAGCTCCCTCAGGGGAGGAAGCGTGTGGTTTTGCTTACTCTTGTGTCCCCAGAGCCCAAATAGCCCCTGGAACAGAGTAGGTGATCGATCAATATCTTTTAACAGCTTTATTGAGGTACACCTAATGTATAATAAACTGCACATGTTCAGAGTGGACAATTTATGAGTTTTGACATCTGTATACATCCGTGAAATCATCACCACAATCAAGCTAATGAACATTTCTATCACCCCCAAAAGTTTCCTGGTGTCCCTCTGTGATCCAACCCTCCACCCAGTCCATCCCCAGGCAAACACTGAATCTGCTTTCTGTCACTACAGATTAGTTTGCATATTCTATAATTTTATATAAATGGGCGCCCTTTTATGTCTGACTTCTTTCACTCAGCATAATTCTTTTGCTATTCATCCAGGTTGTTGTGCAAATCAAGAGTTTATTTCTTTTTATTACTGAGTAGTATCCCGTTGTACAAATGGAATACAACAGTTTTATCACACAGCAGTAATTTATTGCCTAGAAACATAGGCAATCTGTCACATAAGAATTTGCTAAGGTTCCTGTTTCTCCTGCCTGTGTCAATCTTTCTTTCTAAACTAGGGAGGAAATTAGCAAACTTGCCTAGTTTGTTGAAATAATAGGAAATGTGATTGTGTATGGTAAAATTTAACTACCCACAAATATCAGAATAGCACACAAAACACAGAAGACCTAGGAAGAGACAGTTTATATTCACAAGCCTTACGACTACTGTCTTTTACTGAATAGCTAAGATTAATTTCTTAGATTGAGAACTGCTCCTTCTTCAATGTGTACATGTGCGAGTATAAACACCCGAACACATGGGATTCTGACCATGTTCACGTCTAACTGTATTTCAGAATGGCCATGGACCAGGGTCCACTTTGCAAGTTTACGGGGAGGTATCCCCGAGAAATGGGAGGGAAGAGGGGATCTATAAAAGATTGCCAAATATAAGCAGAAAAAAGAGAAAGATCAGATTCTGCTCCAAGGATGACCATATCAGGAAAAATCTACAAAGATCATCTGTTCAACCACTGATGGTTTAATAATCACTTAACAAATAAATGAAAAGTTACAACTGTGGCAAGCACCACAAAAACAGAGGCAGGTTGTGTTACAAAAGCCTAAGTTAAGGGGATTTGACCTGATCAGGAAGGTCAGCAAAGGCTTTCTTGGGCTAGGATTCAAAGGATTTGTAGGACATAAAACCAAGAAAACAGAATCAGGAGGCAGAGAACAGCAGGTGGAAAGGTCCTATGGTTAGGGTTCATGGAGCCCTGGAGGAACTAAAGGGAAAGCCAATGTGTCTGGAATCCCAGAGCAAGAGGGAAAGTGGAATGAGAAAGGGTTTGAAGGAGGCAGGGGCCAGAGCATGCAGGTTGTGATCTGATCCGGAGAGCAGGGGGAGAACCATGAAGGGTTTTAGGCAAGGGAAGAGACAGGGCCAGCTCTGGGCTGCTCCAGAGCTCCTGCAGAGAAGCACCTCATCTCAGAGGGTAGGATGCAGGGAATTCTCCTTCAGCACACATGGGGTACGGTCTCCAAGAGGATGGAACAAATCTGCTCACATCTCCTGGACCAAAGCTAAGAGAAAAGCGAGTATTTTAAAGGAAAATAATCCAAATGCAAGGGACAGTGAAGGGAGAGAAAAGGTGGAGAAAAAGCATGTTAGGAAAAGAAAACACCCTATCACTTGTGTTAAGTCTACCTCCAGCTCCTAGGCGAGTTTTGTACAAACACATATTTAAAGACATCACATGATACTCTGTATAAATTGAGAAGACATCACCTCCAGAGGGCCAGTCTTCATATTCTTTCCACTCTAAAGCTGAGGAAATAAAGTGATGTCGTGGAAAGCTATTATTTTATATATATATATATATATATATTTATTATTATTATTATTATGATCATTACTATTATTATAGGCCTCAGAATCAGGAGATGCAGACTCTAGAATCAGGGTTTGAGCACTGGTTCAATAATTCATTAGTTATATGGCCTGAGAAATCATTTTCTCTCTCTGAACCTCAATTTCCTCTTTTGTAAAGGAGGAAAACTGGATCAAACAGGATAATATGGGACAATAAAAGGTCTTAGAAAAATATAAAACATAATTAATTTTCCTAATAATTTATTCTATTTATATTATTATATCAAGCTCCTAATACAGCACTCATTACGTGTCAGGCTCTGTCCCAAGAAGTTTATATACACTAACTCATATAAACCTCTTAACAACTCAGTGAGGTGTTTACTATTAGCTCACCAAAGTCTTAGGAGTGCCAAACATCCACCATAATTGGTCTCTGCCCTTCACTTTCAAATGTGATAAGGAAGGAGCAGAGAAAATACAAGAGAGTTCTTCATTAAAGGTTTAAGAAAGCACAAGATAAAAAGTCCCAAAATAAAGACTGTGTGAGAGAAGAATTCAGTGCAGCTATTTCTAGAAGAACTAAGTTGGAAACGACTGACTCAACCCAAGAAGGCAGGCCTAATTCCATTTCCATTTCATGAATACCAGGGGACACCTAGTAACACAGATTTTTAATAGTCCTTCTAACTCTAATTTCTCTATGTTTTGATATTTTAACACGTCTGTCTTCCTGAGATTATACCACCCCTGACAAGAAACGTTAAAAGGGCTTTGGTTTTCTTTGCTTTGATACAGGGAAGGAAAAGAGATGCTGATAAACTCTTGCATTGTGGCCTAAGTAAAAGAAAGCCAGGAAGAAAAACTGGAAGTTGTAGAGAGCAAGGGAGGCAGCATGGCAAAGCAGCTAAGAGTGATGACAGCATCTAACGTCACTGACCTGGGCAGTCTTATTGCAAAGCCAGTGCTCTTAGCCTCTACCCTATAATGCCCACACACGTGCAGACCCAACATGCTGCATAAAAATGCACCACAGAGAGGATCAGGGTTAGAATGCTTATAGAGGACCAATTATCAACAGATCAGACATAGCTGGAAAATTATTTAAACTAAAGATAGAACCAGAGAAATTATCCAGACTAGAGTCCAGAGATTCAAAGAGATGACAAATATAAATACTTTTATTAAAAATATTTAAATAGCTCCAGAAGGAGATAACAGAAAGGACGGGGAGGGGGCAAAATTCAAATTGATAATTGGTAAGAATTTTCCAAACTTATTAAAAGACTCCAATCCTCAAATCTAGCACAATAGATTGGGGGAAAAAAATTCACACATATGACCATCATAATGAAATGCAGAGCAACAAAAGAAAAAAAGAGATGATATTAAGAGCAGCCAGAGAGAAAAGACAGATCACCTGAAAAGGAAATGCGTTCAGACTGCAGCGAGCTTGTCCAGAGGAAAGGCGCTCCGCTGGAGCACAGCCAAGGAGCTCCCAACACCAGCGACCCCAGGGAGCCGGAGGCAGCCTGATGGTCTCTTCCAGAGACGGCCACAGGAGTATCTCCCATCCCACACGCTCTTCATACGATATGACTTTGATACTCCTCTCATTGAGAGGCAGGGTCTGCGTCCTCTCCCATTGAAATTGGATGGGCTTTTGTGACTGTTTCTACCAACAGATAGGACAAAAGCAAGACAGTCTGACTCCCAAGGCTAGGTCATTAAAAGGCAACATGGTCTTGCTTTCACTGCCGGAACACATACTCTTGAAAGCTTTAGCTGCCCTGAGGCCACCATGCTGCAAGGAAGCCCAAACTAGCCCACATAGAGACCAGATGGACAGGCCCTGAGACTATACAGAGCAAGAGGGAGAGGGTGAAGAGAAGGACAGGGGAGGAGATCAGGAGAAAGGAAGAGAGCTAGTCTGAGCAGCCGTGAGCTGCTGCAGACGCTCACTGTTCCAGCTCTATTCACCATCTGATTGGAGTCGCGTGAGAAACCTCGAGCCCAAACCACCCATCCAAATGCTCGCTGAATTCCTGACCCACAGAAACTGTGAGAAATTCTAAAATGACTGATGTTGTTTTAAAAGTCACTAAGTTTTTGGGTGATCTGTGACACAGCAGTAGATAACTGGTTCATCTAAACTGCCAACTGGCAGCCATCCAGGTATCAAGTGAGAGTGACATGAATCAGATTCACAGGATGAGGTCAACTAAGAATTTCTAGCATCTAAACACATTTGACGCACTTAATGTTGTATATATTGAACTACAAGAATCTTTCTTAGTTGCAGTTCCTAACATAACTTAGAGCTCAAAATAATCATCTCATATTACTTCTTAGGATACTATGCTTCCTGAACTACTGTATAAAAATTAAGAAAATTACAGTGAAACATTGGAGGTGTTACTTTATACATGCATTATAATCATCATATGTTAGCCAAGCAAACCAAGCATGAAATTTAAAAAATGAACTCACCCCCTTTCCTCCTGACTTTTGGTCAAATGGTACCATGGTGATTTGTTTGGAATCTCGTTGATATGTACAGTAGTGCTTCACCCAAGAAGTTCCAAAGTGACCTGCAAGGTAATATTTCCATAAAACATCTCTACATATCCACTGCACGCTGCAAAAACACACAACCCACAGTGCTCACCCTTCCCTTAAACTGTTTCTAGGGGCAACATATTCTCCACACCAGTTCGACTGGAATGGGCAGAAAACGATCCCACAGCCTGGAAATGGAACCGACCCAGGGCTTTCCCCAGGGACCAAGGAAGACTGTTTCCCACTAAATGCTGCATCTAATGGGTCTTAAAATATAAAGGAAATAGAGGTTCCCTGGGGAAATTAATTCACTTTCCCATCATCAATCTCCATTTGAAGTTTCCTTTCGCTCCCCTGACAGGAGTAAGATGACTGAGGAAAGAACACAGAAAGGCTCCTCAAAGTGCCTGTCACTGCTCCCATCTGCTGTGATGACTTCGCAATTCCCACACAGCTGCTCTGCGACTCTGGATGCAGACATGCAGGGGTTCTGACCTACTTCCCAACCCCTAACTTTTAGTTTAGCAGAACTCAAGAAGATCTGAGAAGCAGACAGGAAAACTCAGAGACATCACAGATGCAGAATGGAAGTGACTATAAATGCCCAAATGTAATCTAAGGAGTTTGCCTTCAAAATTATCCCTTGGGAAAGAAAGAGATGCCCTACAGTAAAATTTTGACAAAGTCTCTGATTTTACCCAGTGCTTGGCCAATGACTTTATTTTGAACAACAGAGTGCTATCAGAGGAAAAAGGCATTATTAGCTTGCAAGCACCTCAATCAATACTAGTCTTAGATGCTTACAGAGATCACATAGCAGAAATGGTTAAAAAAAAAAAGTAACAACATGAAAAGAGATTGAGCAGACATTTAATAACTATTTTTCAGGGTATGAATGCCCACTCCAAGTGTCAGATGTCACTCAGTAAACTTAAAAAGCAATACAGTAAGTGACTACATTGGAGCATCAAGGACAAATGAAAATATCAACCATTCTAATGTATTTTCATGGCTTGGAGAAAAAATTCTAGTGATAGCACAAAACAAAGATCCTGAAAGTGCTATGTCTTAGACAATGTGAACATCAAAATGATTAAGGATAGTAATGGATTTAGCCTAATGAATAAAACAGGAATCTATAAGTCTATACTAACAATGGAAAGATAGGCAGATGGACGGATGGATGTAAATAGATAGGGAAAGAGGGAGAGGGAGGGAGGGGGAGGGAGGGAGGGAGAGAGAAGGAGGGAGAAAGGAGGGAAGGAAGAGAGGAAGAGAATGGAGGTCGCTTCCTTACAGTACACTGAATGCCAACTACTAAATGTAGAGGAAGTCACAGAGCTGGGAATCACCATTTTGCAACCATCATAGTAAAGATGGTTCAGGCCAGGACTGTCAACGGATACTAACTCTATGGGGGGCAAAGTTTGATGAAGAGAAGAATATGGTCTTAAGGTGTCTTCCCACAGATTGCTAATTAGTTATAAGGGAAAAATAGTGACTGTACAGTGGAAAAACCAGATAATATCTTGACTGGGTGAACAAAATTAACATCCCCATTGAGGGGCAGATGGCCATCCTTTGTCTCTGGCTGTGGTATCTGGGAAGAACACAGTATTACTTATGTAGGATTCACTAGGGATGCATAATCTGAATCTAATCATGAGGAAATATTAGACAAACCCACACTAAGGAAAATTCTCTAAAAGAACTGGCCTATATTCTCTGAAAACATCAACAGCATGAGAGACAAAGTAAAGCTGAGGAACTGTTCCAGAATAAAGAAGACTAAAGTCATGACAACTAAATGCAGTAGGAGATCCTGTACTGGCGGAAAAAAAATGCTTTGTATGGGCATTATTAGGACAACTGACAAAAATGGAATATGGACTGTCGTTTAGATTAAATATCTTATCAATGTTAGAGTCCTGGATGTGGCAGCTGTACTGAAGATACATAAAAGAATATCCTTATTTTTAGAAAATAAGTAAAGGAGCATGGTGTATGCAACCTGTTCTCAAATGGTCCAGAAAATTAAAATGTGTGTGTATCTGTGACTGTGATGCGCACACATGCACCTATATATAGAGAAAGAATGATATAACTGTGGAAAAATGGTAAAAAACTCATCAATCTGGGTAAAGGTCATATAGTTGTCGTTTATACTATTCTTGTAACTTTCTGTAAGTTTGAAATTATTTCAAAATAATAAGTTATATAAATTTTCAAATAAAAAAAGCTGTACCTCAATGACATGCTCTGGACTTCTATGCTAGAGAATCAAATATGGTTCTGACGATAATCAAGACATTAATGTTGAAAAAGCATGTGAAGTGTTTGAATAGAATAAAATTATATAATGTAATGTGAGAGTGCAAAAAGCAATACTGATTTTATATATGTAAGTGAATATTAATATTAGATTATTTTATTAATTTATTAATATTTAATTAAAAATTAAGTGGTATAAGTGGACATTGAACTATATTTTCACAGTCCTAAAAATTTATATTTTCAAGTTGACCTTAAACTTTTGGGGGCCAATCTTCTCACTGGGCAAAGAAGGTACCACCTTATATTCAGGTATATACAAAACACACAAAGTAGCTTCCGTTTCTTACAAACTTCAACAAGCTCATCCCTGTAAGAATGAGAGACATAAAACCCTCATCACAACCAACGCTCTAACCTCCATCCCCACTACTGCCCCCACTGTCACCAGGGAACATTTCAAGCCCAAGCAAATTTTTGAGTCATCATTAAATAGAATAATCTCTGAAACCAAGTGTTCTAGTTCTGTTCCATAGGGAAGCTTCCATGAGTGAAGACATTTGCCTAACTCTAATTCAACAGAAGGACGTAAAAGAGCACAAAACCAGCAAAAATCTGAGAGGAGTAATGTGTCCAGCCAAGAAAGCAGAGATGGGAGACTAGGAGAAGAACTATCCATTAAAGAAAAAAAATTCACTGTCTTTTCTCCCTTGCACTGCATGCGTAAAGTAAGTCTGGCAGTGCTACTCTACAGCACAGCCCTGTCACAAAGCCCTCCCCAGGCCTACTGCATGGATCTGTGAGTCATCACTGAAAATTCTGGTCAGCAGCACCTGGCACTTCTTCCCTTGACCTTCTATCGGCAGGGCAAGGGATCTTCTTCCCAGCTCTCAGAGTGAGCTTCTGTTTCCACCTTTCATAAAATTAAGTGTTGGGACGACAGGAATTAAAGAGAAGAGGGAAAGGGCCTAAGTCATGATTGTTTGGGCCTTGCTGAAACCAGTCTCAAATGAAAACAAAATCACTAAATAGTAAGTCTACCAAAGGATATGACAGCTGATAGACAATAGGTGTAGCATGCAAGACCTTTCCAAGGCCTCTCTGCCAAGGCTATGGTATATAAAGCTCAATGAAGGGCACAGGCGCCTCAAAAGTAGAGTGACACCAGGGAGAGAAGAACACCCCAGAGCCTCGGTGAATGCCAGGTTGCAGGGAATTTCCAGTTACAAAGAAAACAGAATACGTCACTTGGAAGTAGACAAGACCTGTGCACATCACCTTTCCCCTAGGAAAGTGAACTATAAAGTTACTCTCATTCGTCCAAACCTGTATTTACAGAACATTACTCTAGGCAAGGCACTACTGGATACACCCTCCACGTTCTGGGTAGAAGGCATGAGTGTACACCAAGCTGGTGGTCGTCACGGGCACTCACGTTTCTCCTGCACGTAGAGGTACCCTTCCATGGTATAGGGACTGATGGTCTTGTGCTCGAGGGGATTCTCCTTCATCTTTTTCATCAATGATTCCACTTCTGACCTGGTGCCTTCAAAGCGATTTCTTGTCTAGGATGAAAGGAATTTTATTCAAATCAAAGAAATAAACGCCTATTCCCATCTCTAACAATTCAAAACATCAATCAATAGAATCCTTAGATCTACAACCAGATAAGGAACATTCAACCATTTGGAATTAGGCAAATATTCACTTTCAAGAAGTATACTTTGGCCTTAAAGTCCTATACCAGAACGCCTCTCAAACTCTAGGGACCATCAAAATCATCTGAGGAACTTGGAGACAATGCAAATGCCCAGGCCACATCCCGAAAGATTAGTTTAGTCCCTCTGGACCCAGAAACATGCATTTTAAGTAGGCATCCCAGGTGATTCTGACTCAGATGGTGCACAGGAGGGTACCTGCCCAGCTCCCCTTCAGGACCGAGGTACTCCTTTCTCCAGCTACAGGGAATGTTGCTTGCTGATGGCTCACAGATGAGTCCCCCCTCAAAAGGGAGATACTTCACTCAGGTTACCCCTTTCCCCAGGGAAGCCTGCACCCAATGACTAGTCGAGGCTAGAGGCAAAAGGAGACGGGGTCAAAAGCCTGGGCTCCTTGCTTCTCTTCAGGCCACTCTGAAGGACCATCCCAGCGCCAGGGTGCCCATGACATTTGACTGAGGCCTCTGCTGCACCTGCATCACAGCTCAACATCTCCTCCTGCAGGGCCTGCTGCCCTTGCTCTCTCACAGGTGTTTTTGCTTCCTGTAAACCTGCTGCGTGTAATTCTCCACTTCAGAATTGGCCTTCTGAGGAAGCTGTGCTTTGTGAAACCTTGTCCGTGACTCGGCAACTTCCTGTTCTCTAACACGACTCAGAGAACCAAGTCAGGGCAAGCCCCAGGCTTCTAAAAGCCACAATACAACCCACAAGGATACACTTGGGTTTCTTCTCTACCAAGGATCATCTAGAGACAAAGACAACAGGCAGATTCACACGACCCAGTCACACAATGAAGAAGGGGGCTCAAGCCCCAGTAACTGCAAACCAAAGAGCCCTAAGCAGGATTCTGAGCACCAAACGGTCCTGCTGTTTAAAATTTGAGAAAGGAGACTGAGAGTAAACCACACTGACTTGGATTTCCTGTCAGCCTCACTAAGCGTCGAACAAGAGCACATCCTTTGAGCTGGAGGCCAGCATGTGCTCCCCGCCCCCAACCCCTAAACACACACTCCAAGGTCTCGTGTGGGCAGGCAGCTCGACGCACAGAAGGGAGGCTGGGCTGGGCTGGGCTTCTACTGCCAAAGGAAATCCTGACTCTGGTGCTACAGATTTCAACATAACACCAGCAACACTTCCAAGAACATGAATAGTGCTTTGAAATAATGGAGAAGAGGATGATGCTCTAACCTGGGGCCACCAAGCACCCTAGAAATGCCTGCCCCCCACTGCCCTTTGAACTCAAGAAAGACCATCCTCATCTGCATTCCAGTCCGGATAAGTGATCTCTATGCAACCAGACCCATACTTTGTTTTTTCCTTTCCTTAACTAGGAAAAGGAAGCCTGCCCCTTTGCCCACTCACGTTCTGTATGCTAATGGTCAACTGTGTCTTGAAGTCGCCGAAATCCTTGGCCAGTTCATAACCGTGGTGATAGAAAGTGAAGAGTCCTTGCAAGAATGCCAGTAGCTGTAATGAAGGAAGAAGGCAGAGTTCATATGAGCAGGTTAAAGAGGTATTAGGTAGCTGTATCTGAGTTCCCAACCCTGGTTTGAAAGTCTAGAACAAAGTAATAATAATGGCTATCTTTACTGAGCACTACTTGTATGCCAGGCACCATAACTTTACGTGCCCTGTCGCACTGAATACTCACAACAACCTATGAAGTAACTATGACTGTTATCTCCATTTTAATAACGAGGAGGCCAATTCAGAGAGATTAAGTAACTTGCCCCAAAACACTCAGTAAGTGGCAGCCAGGACTTGAAACCACATCTCCTTGGCACCAACACCCAAGCTCTTGCCCTGTGAGCCTCATCACCTCCTAAAAAACTCATTTTGTCAGAAATTGAAGATCAGGGCTCCAACTCAGTCTCTTTCTAGTACATTTGTAATATCAGGTTATAATGCAGAAGGGGGTGGTTATATTGAAAACCAACAAGGAAGGGAGGCGAGCAAGCAGGTGTGTCCTGAGTCTGCAGGCTAAGAGGCAAAGTCAAATCAAAGAAAATCACCCAGAGCAGACTTCAGCTCCAGTGTATTTCTGTGCTTTCCCTAAACTATCCACAAGGAAACACTGTGGATTCCTTTATCAAAATATCCCCATGTTCCCACGTTTTCAGTTATGATGGTTTCCCTAAATCCTCATTTAAATCCCCTCGGGCTAACAGGTAATAAGCCCGTTCATTGTTTAGTCTTGTCTTCAGTGAAGAGCGAAAACATCTGTTTACCACAATTCACACAACACACCTTCATATACTTAAAAACTATTCAAGTCCCGCGCTGAGCCCCTGCCAGCCTTCACTTCCCCAGGCTAAAGAAATGCTCTTGCCGTCTTTCCTCTCAGAGACTACAGTCAAACCTCACTGTGGTTATGCTTTCCCAGCCCCTTCCCAAGTTCTACATATCTTTCCTCAGCTCCAAATCTTAACCTGAAGAAAGGATCACAATAAAAGCCTGAACAAGGTTTAGAAGGACCAGAACCTCACCTCTATCACAAGTTCAGTTCTATCGCACTTGGGGACTACCCATGTTCTTACTGACTTCCATTTTCTGAGGGGTCCTCCCTGACCTGCCTCTAACACGTGATATCAAGACACAGTTGCTTTACTTTATATTGTTGTTCTTAGCTTTCCAGTCCCTAAACAAACATATCTTTGCTTATTAAACAGAGGAAGGTCCATAATTTTTCTTCTAGATGCCTCTAATAATAAAGACGGGGTTCTTATGCCAAACCTAGTGCCAGTATTCACAATGAAAACTCTTCTTTCTTATCTCTTCCCTCCCTGCTCTCCTTGAATGCTATGCCCCATCACTTTCCAAGGCACTGAGCCATCCTCCACTGGAGAATAATGAAGCTAAGCAGCTAATTTTTGTGTGTGTGTGTGAGGAAGACTGGCTCTGAGCTAACATCCATTGCCAACCCTCCACTTTTTGCTGAGGAAGATTAGCTCTGAACTAACATCTGTGCCTATCTTCCTCTATTTTGTATGTGAGATGCCACCACAGCATGGCTTGATGAGCAGTGCGTAGATCTGTGCCCAGGATCCAAACCGGTGAACCCCAGGCCTCCGAAGCAGAGCGCGTGCACTTAACCACTACGCCAGACCCCATATAAGCAGCTAATTCTAAGGTCATTCCTCCTATTAACTCTGCTTTATCCTTTGCTTCAAGTCAACAGGGCTTCTCTTGCCCAGGGTTATTAAATATTCTCAAACAGCTAAGACATCCCCTGGGCATACACACAAGTGCTCCAAAGGCAGAGAGTTGCTAATATTTATGTTGGTTTCACTTCCTTTGGTATCCCGGTTGATTGTCCATTTGTCTACAGGAAATGATTCCTGACGTATTGTTATCTTTGGCCCACTTCTCTTCCTTCTCCCCTCGCAGCATCTTCTCTCTCCTCCCCCACCTCCTTACATTTCCTTCCCACAAACTGTATGAACTTTTGAACTATTACCCAGGGGGAAATGAAAGTCCACTCCTCAGGGGCTGGGCAAGGCCCACAGAAGGACTCCAGGGAAGGAAGGATCTGTCTGTCTCAGAGAAATGCTTCTACTCAACACACATAGCTTGCTGTAGCCTCACCTTGCTTATCAGATAAGAGAAGTCAGCACATTCACCGGGCTCCTCCCTGAACAGCCAGGACACAAAATCAGAGCACAACAAAGGAAATACCAAAGAAAAACCTCCCCTATCTCCCTTTGCCTTCTCTCCATCCTTGTTTTCCTCAGAGACTAACTGTAAGAAAAATCTATTCCTATTTCATAGCTGACAACATAAATATAATTTATTCTTTAAAAAAATAAGCAAAAATGTAACTGCTTCATTTAGTGCTGGCTGCATCACTCTGGACTATCTGATAAATTTAGGTTGTTTCCATTCACAGACTAGAACTACTGTTATGGGTTGAATTTGTGTCCCCCACCCAAAAGATATGTTGAAGTCCTCATCTCCAGTACCTCAGGATGTGATTTTATTTGGAAACAGGGTCTTTACAGAGGTAATTAAGTTAAAATAAAGCCTTTAGGCCCTAATCTAAAATGACTGGTGCCCTTATAAAAAGGGGAATTTGGACACAGAGAAACACATAGAAGGCAGACAGCCATGTGAAGACAAGGGATAGGAGTGACGCATCAATAAAGCAAGGAATGCCAAATACTTCCAGCAAACCACCAGAAGCCAGAAGAGGCAAGGAAGGATCATTTCCCTACAGGTTTCAGAGGGGCACAGCCCTGCTGACACCCTGATCTCAGGCTTCTTGCCTCTAGAACTATGAGGCAATAAATTTCTCTTGTTCTAAGACATCTAGTTTGTGGTACTTTGTTACAGCAACCCTAGCTGCAACTACCAAGCTAAACAAATGTAGCTACCAAGAATCATTCATTCACACAACAGAAGGACAGACAGCAGACTGACGAAAAGCTGGGCTGGGTGAGCCATGCAACTCCCTTTAACTCATCTTTTACAGGAGGATAATAATGCACCTACTATTCCACCAGGTTGTAGTAAAGACTGAGATCATCTATGTAACGGGCTGAGCACAGGAGTGCCAGTAGGAGCTGTTCAGCAAGAGAAATAGAATCAAACTGCTATATGAGAAGATGCACTGTGGTGACACAGTCCAGGCCAGACTGGAGAAGGGGGAGGCCCAGGAAAAGATGCAACAGGCCAAAGGGAAAGAACGAAGACCTGCAATGGGGCAGAAGCAGTGAGAAAGGACAGGAAGGCACGGCACCAAGAAATATTCAGGTGGTGAAACTCAGAGGATGTGGAGCCTGACAAATGTACAGAATGAATTCTCTGTAGCACTAGGTAACCTTCAATTATGAAAACTCAGGGAACAGACGGAATGTGGCTTCAACTTCATGAGGTCAGTACGTCATTATCTGCAATCCAAATCTCTGGAACATTTAGTACCTCAACAAAAAAATAAATGCTTCCAGGGCACAAAAAAAATACATGGTTTAGATCCCAGAAGTCTGATTTTTCTTCCTTGGAACACTAAAATTTTGTTACTTTTTCTGAAGGTCAATAACATCCTGGTACTTGAAGTTACTTTCTAAGAAATTAATGAACATTGTCAATGTGCATGGAAGTTCCTTGAATGGCTGGAAGATTCCCTTGATGGCAACCAACTCAAAATATGAATATCCACCCCAAGTACCCCAGCAATTTAATGCCATAGATTTCTTGCTGGTTTCCTATCTACCTGTAAGCAATAAAATGCTGTTTCATACAGATTAAGAGCCAGACCATTTCAGTTCTGCTATTTACTAGAGGTGACCTTGGAGAAGTAAACAAATGTGCTTCCATTTCTTCATCTAAAAACAGAGATAAAAACAGTCCTTACCCTCAGAGATGTTTTAAGTATTGAATGACATAACGCAGGTAAAGCGTTTATTAGCATAGCACATGACACAGTTTCTGTTATATCATCAATTGTCATTTCACGTGCTGCTTTTGAACAATCTAGGCCAGTGGCTCAAACTTTTAATGTGTAGCAGAATCGTCTGGGGAGCTTACTAAAATACAGATTACTGGGCTCCACCCCCAAATTTGGGGTTTGGGGTAGAGCCTGAGAATTTGTATTTCTAAGACTACGAGAACCACTGATGTAGTGAGTACCTTTTTCATTGTCTGAATCTCTTCTCCCTATCTACAGCGCCTGAAGCCACTGACCTGTCTACAAACTGGTGTGTTCAGAAACAAGAACTTCTGTAGAAAAGTGAAGGTTAAACATCTGAATCCTACATCCAGCCTCTCAACTGACTCATTTAATTTAACTTTGGGCAAGTCCCCAGCACTTTCTCTTCATTTGACCCTGAGACCAGAAATTTTTCCTACTAGCTCTCCAGATGCCTCGCTTATGACCTGAAAATATCTGCAAACCATGGTCTCCTCCTCTTCAAATCCCTCTGTCCCTTCTACATCACCCATCCTGTCCCACCTGGCACCAAACTGCTGCTATCTTGGCTAACTCTCGATTACGTACATCTTGCTTCCCCAGTGAGGCTGAGAGCAACTCAGACATAGCAGCTGGGTGGTCAGCATTTTCTACGGTATTCAGTAAATAAATGCTTTTAGATTTACCAAAATTATTTATATTAAAACAGGTAGGCCCTGTTAATATTGGCATTGGACTCATTTGCTCATTTGAGGAGACCCTGGGTAGTCAAAGCTGATGTATTATTCTCTCTACCTCAGAATAAAAAATCATTGTAAACTGAGCACTATAGCAATGATATAATTATATAATTATATATAGCAATTATATTAGCAATTATATAATAATTGAATGCTAAGTAGATTAGCTCTGTTCTAAGCATCTTACATGGATAAACTCAGTAAATTCTCATAACATCTTTATAAGGTAGGTGGTATTATTATACCCATTTTGCAGATGAGGAACCTGAGACTTGGAGAAATAACTAACTTCCCCAAGAATGCAACTAGAAAATGGATGAGCGGGGATTTAAATCTTGGCAGTCTGGCTCTAGAGCCCTTAACAATGACTGCCTCTCAAAAAAACTCAAGACACTATATACTACAATAGAATGCCAGGAAATAGAAAGATAAATACTTGTAGATTTCCTTAAAAGAGGAAGAAAAGGAGAGGGAGGAGAAAGGAAGGAGGAGGAGGAAAGCCCATCTTGATCAGCAGTCATCCAGTTGAGCCCGGCCTAGATTGGCTGAACCCCACAGATGTGTGAGAAATAAATGTCTATTGTTGTATAGGGTTTTGTGGTTATTTGTTACCTAGCAAAAGCTAACAGATATAATACCTGACACTCACTAGGAACACCTACTGAAAGATGAAAATAGACAACCAAAAAACTCACCTCAAAAATGTAGGATGGGCCAATTAAAATTCAACTCATGAAAATCAGGCAATTGTAGAATAATATCAATGTACACATAAAGATTATTAGAATCACACTGTTTTTTCCCCTCTAGAAATTCTAGTAAAAGCAAATAAAGATGCCAAAGGCTAATTCCATGTGACAGCATTTGAATTCTTGTCCTGACCACAACAGATGAATCTTCAGTAAACCTCTGATTGAAATGCTGGCTCTAAAACACCTCTATACCCTAAGCAGGGAAAGCAATGAGCTTGCTTTCTCTGACAGATGGCCTCTCCCACCTCACAGACCCTGCAGAAAGACGGGGATTTTGACCTGAGACCGTGACAGATTCCACTGTTACATAGGAAGCTGGCTCTCAAGTTTTCAATATTCAGATAAGAAAAATGAGTTAATTAAGACTTGAAAGAATTTGCCAGATGAGGTAGCTGGGAGTGGAATCCCAAGCTAGTTTCAGTTTAGTAAAAGTTGTAGGCATCAGATTCCAAAGCCAGCTGGAGTCTTGATGAAACTACTAGCAAACCTACATGCCTAAAAAGCATCCCAAAAGTTCATAAATTAGAAATGGAGCACTGAACACTCTTTACTAAAAAGAGTGGTCATTTTCTTTCAGTGTCTTATAGTTTTATTCTTATTTGCTTAAAAAAATCATGCTTTCTAAAATCTAGGTAGGTAAGAATCTTCTCTGTATAGAGACCCCAGGCTTGGGTCTAAATAAGAGGTTTCATTTTGGCTGAAAAGGTCTGCAAGAGTTTTAAACTGAGGCCCATTTGCTCTTTGGTGTTTCCATGAAGTCTTCCTGCTATGGATTCTGAACACCAGTGCCACAGCGGGTAGAGCAGCACCACGTCTGCCTAAAACCACAACACGCTGGGGTGGCCTAAACTACAGCCAGACTTGTTTCCACACTAAACCCTTCATGCCCACCGGGACACTCTGCCCAAATCCAAATCCCACCCAGCAGAATCTCCATGCTGCTTGGTTATAATAAAGCTACAGTGAGAAATCGCTGTACACAGAATATTTTAATACATGAATGGGTAAAGAGGGGCTTTGAATTCAGACGGCAAAAAGGGAAAAGTATCGTGTACATTTCCCTATTTCCTTAGGTTACTACTACATCTGGATTATTGGGGGGGGGGAGGTAAGGTGTAATCACTATGGATTACAAGATGTTTGGCAAGATGAAAACTCCTCCCCTCCCCTCCTTCCACTACTTCTACCTAGAAACCAAACAGGACAACACAGGAAGCTAGAGGAAGCAACTACTGCTGAATGTGCTATCTCCCTCACTGTGGTTGTACAGGAATGGCTACTGGGAAGAGTCTAGAATAGGCAGAGGGACAAAGCAACTGTTACTTAGCAAGAAGGCACATCAGGGCTGGTCAACCTCTTCATCAACAACTTAGAGCATTTTGTAATCCAGGTGGTTGGAATGAGGGGCGGGGATGAAAGTATGGGTACATCATTAATCTACTTACAGGTTCCACAAACTCAAACATCTTTCTCTCTTGGACTTCCTGCACCTTGAAGACATACTCCAGGGATACTTCATAGAAATGCTGCCGAACCAGGTCCACTTGGCTGTCTGCCTACAAACAAGATGGAATTTAAGAGAAAAATCAAGTCACTGCCCCCAGAGAACATTCAGCAAGAAGGTCAGAAAAATCTCTGGAGATGGTTTTTAAAAATAAATCAAATAACATGAAACAGAGATAATAATAATGATCATGGTTAGCAGAGCACCAACTATGCCAGGCACCACGCCCATAACTGTACGTATGTTACCTTATTCAAACCTCATTAATTTTAGTTATCTAATCCTCATTAAATTCCTAAAAAGAAGATATTATCTAACTTACAGGAGGAATGAAGTCTGCTAACATTAAGGAACCTGACACAGCTGGTACAGGGCGGAGCTGGGCTTTCTGTCCTGCTCGATCCGCCTCCAAGACCCTTGATCGTCCTTAAACCACTAGGCTCTCCAAGACCCTTGATCGTCCTTAAACCACTAGGCTGCAACACCTCCCTGTACCCTGGGGCAGACCTGGGTTCCATGGAAGACAGATTTTTAAAAAGAAAAAGACAACCTGCAGGTCTATCCCTGTCCCATTCTTCCTAATGAGCAAAACAAGCTGTTAGAGGGCAGGGGGACCTCAGAAAAGGACACGAGGCCCACATACTTTGTTTTTGACAAGGATAAACTGTCACTTTACCTCAAGCAGAGTAATTACATTTCTCCCTCTGAACCTCAGTTCTCCCACTGTGCAGGTGTGTGGCCTGGGAAGGCCAACACCTGGGTACAATTAAGCCACTGATCCGGGACCTAGAACCCAGGGGAGAAAATGAGTATGTATGGAGTAACAAGACGCTATGCTGGGAAGTACCTCAACTATCACTACAAAGCTCTCACCCTTTCCACAGTGCAGCTACAACAACTCATTCTTTCAAAGCAGATAATCACACCGAAAGCAAATTTCAGTGACAAAAAAAAGAAAGGTGAATTTTAAAAAGTAAAAATAGATATCCTGCTAGTAGGAAACAAAACATTGTTTTCTTTAGAAATGAAGGAGTCAGAAACCATTCTATAACATACTTACTAATGCAAACAAAGCCCCCCAAAGGAATATCTCTTCCTTTGTCAAGATTCCTGCAGGAGAAACTTGGGAGGGAATTTTACTTCCATTATACCAAATACAGTATTGTAACCTGACATCTGAAGGACTTGGCAAATCATCCGTTCATTCACCCATCATGAGCAAAAAGAAACCTCCTTCATGAAGCTCATAGCATAGTGAAGGAAAGAGATATTCACCAAATTATCAAGTAAATAAACAGAAATCACAGACTCTAGTAAAGCACAGAGTGGTAAAAAAGAGGCCCCAAAAATTCATTAAAGTCTCCTGCTAGCAACTTCCTCCCAGGGCAGCTTACGTATTAATACACAGAGGCAGTCTGCTGAGTAACTGCTGAATAAAACCAAAATGAAGGGCTAAGCTTGGGGGCATTTTCTAAACCTCCAAGCAGGGGAAGTTGATATCTGAGCGCTGACAGATCTTTATTTGAAGGCAGGGTGTCAGAAAATGCTGCACCCTGCCTCCCCAGGTCTGGCTGTGTAGACAACAGGGCTGACATACTCTCTACCTCGATGCCTGCCAGCTAAGTCCCACATGTTCCTGTAGCCTTTAATTCCCTTGTAGCGGAAATCCAACCCACTTACACGGAGGGATGCGTCTACAGCCCCTGACCACCCACATACACCTCATATATCCTCTCTGCTTGAGCTTGCCAACCGAGGCTGCAGCTGAAAAAAGGGTCATTCTGAAAATCTGCTAAGTGCCTCCTGCACTTAGGCAGGGATGAAGGAGACAGAAGGAACTCCTCCGAGAAAAACAGCAGAGCCCAGCATCAGTAGGACAGTAGGGCTAGGACAGCAACACCTGGGATGGGGCTGCAGTTCATCATTTTCTAGCCAGTGAGACCTGTTCAAGTCGCTTATCCTCTCTGGGTCTCTTTCCCACACCTGGAGAATGGAGATGATAGTATCTGCCCTTGCTCTGAGTAGAGTAGAGTTTCAAAGAGAAAATGAGCTACAGGATATGAACAATTTGAAAACCAGCAAGTGTTCTGTGCACATTGGTTGTTATTACCAGGGACGTCAGAGCAGATGGGTTTCAATCCCTGCTCCTAACCTAAGCCAGCCACACCATCTCTGGGGGCTACACTCCTCTCCTAAATGGTCTCCCTACTTTCATTCTCTCCCCACCCAACCCCTCAATCCAGTCTCCACCCAGCAGCCAGAATACCTTTCTTAAAATCTAAATCAGATGTGCTCACAGCCCCTTCAATGCCTTCCCATTACCATTGTCTCAAGACCCTGTGTGACCTGCCCACCCTAACCTACCCTCTCTGTGCTCCAGCCACTCAGCCTCCTTCCTGTCCTCTAATACTCCAAACTCTTTCTTTCCACTCAACCTTTGCACTTCATGTTCCTTCTGCCTGAAAACTTCTTCCTCTAGATAAATATTCAATTCTTTTTAACATCAATGCACAGTAAGAAACACCTTTTGCATAATGACCTAATAAACATATTTATAATTAAGTGCAACACACTTTCATATTTTTCATTCTGTCCTAGCCTACTCTACTCTATTTCATGACCCAGTAATTCAGATTTTTATGACACACCTACAATTTAAAGAACACTGTCTTAGCTTTTCACTTAGCTTGCTCCTTCTCATCCTTCTGGTCTCACTTCAAATGTTACCTCTTCATAGAAGCCTTCATTGACCACATTATTTTAGATAGGTTACCACAGGGAGTCTCTATCTTATCTCCCAATTTAGTTCCCTATCACAAAGTGCAATTCTTATTTTTTTTAGAACATTGTCGTTATTCTGATTTTTTTTTTTTTTGAGGAAAATTGGCCCTGCGCTAACATCTGTTGCCAATCTTCTTCTTTTTTTTTTTTCTTTTTTCTCCCCGAAGCCCCAGTACATAGTTGTGTATCACAGCTGTAGAGTTGTAGCTCTTCTATGTGGGACACCACCTCAGCATGGCTTGATGAGTGGTGAGCAGGTCCGCACCCAGGATCCAAACCGGTGAACTCCGGGCAGCCGAAGCAGAAAGCACAAACTTAACCACTAGGCCACCGGGCTGGCCCCTGAAATTCTTATTTAGTCCTTTCTTTTCTTGGGTATTGCCTACTAGAATATAAAGTCAATGAGAGAAAAGACCTTGTCTCATTTTTCCACTAGACCATAGTAAGCATTCAGCAGATGCTTGAGGAATGAATGAATTCATCTCTATGTGGCCATCAGTGACCCAACACTCAGAAGGAATGCATAATTCACTGCATTTCCAAAGGAAATCTTAGAAGACATCCCACGTGGAATGGTATGTTTCTCCTGCCACTGCCCCTCTTATCTGAGCCAAAGAATTCACCACATCCTTAGACCACCCCCCGCAATAGAATTCTAACCCACCCAGCAAGCCACTCAAAAAAGCTCTCCTGCCTATTACTTGAGAAACTCTAAATTTACCAGCTTATCTGAGACCCACCAACCATTCTGTCTTCTCGGAAAAGAGACATTCTCCTAGACTATAAATTCCACGAAAGCAGATCATTCATTTCACTCCCCACAATACACCCAAGCCATAACAGACTTTCACAGAAGCGTCCAATATTTGTTGAACTTCGAAGCAAGCTTCTGAGCCACAGAAGAACATATTGAGTTTTTAAAAATCATCCACTAGATGGCAGTGTCATTCCACATCACTGCCCTGTAATTTTACCCACAGATCTAGGGATGGGCTAGAATTTTCAAGTATTCACTTCAGAGCCCTGCAATCAGGAAATAATTCTGGATAATCAAAGGAAGTAGATTTCATTAAAGGGGTACTAGATAGATGTTTAATAATGTTCTTAAAAGTTGATTTTTAAATAAATGTGAAGAAAATCATCACTAAATAGCTAGAAGATCTTGAGCAAATCACTCGACCTGTGCAAGGAACTCAGTTCCTTCAACTGTAATTACAGGAGGGTCAACCAGATGATCACCGAGGTCCCTCCCTCTCTCCAATTCTATTTGCAAGACACTGGTATTTCTGAATAATAATGGCTGGCAGGCTGCAGAGCAACATACCTCCCTCCCAAGATGAAGAGAGAAGTCCAGAGCATGCTGGGTTAAGAGACAGGGCTCCAGAGTCAGGAGGCAGGGTTCAAACTCTCGCTGACTAGCTATGGGCAGGCCTTTTAACATCTTTGCGCCTCAGTCTCCTCATATGTAAAATAGAGGGAAGACAACTGAGCCTCACATGGTGGCTGTGAGGGTTTGAGAAGATTCCACGTCAAGCGCTTCACAGTGTGGTACATAAATATGCATTCAATAAATATTTGCTGCTATTATTGTTGTTGTAAAAGTATTATCATTATTGCTGTTATTATTAAGAGATTTTTATTCAACTTAATTCAGCTCAAGTATGATTAAAAAGCAATGCCTGACTACAGACCAGGACTTACAAGAAAGACCTGCAGCCCACTCCCTGCCCTCAAACTACTTACAAAGAATGAATGGGTAAAAGACAAGAACACAAAGGACTTTAACAAAAGAACATAAGGAAAAACCGTCCACTACAATATACACTGGCAGAGTTCGTGCAATAGACTGAATGTTTGTGCCCTTCCCCCCGTTCATATGTTGAAACCTAATCTCCAATGTGAGGCATTTGGAAGTGGGCCTGTGGGAGGTGCTTAGGTCATGAGGATGGAGCTCTTGTGAATGAATTAGTGCCCTTAGGAAACAGACCAAGAGAGCTCCTCACCCCTTCTGCTATGTGAGGACACAGCAAGACGACAGCCCTCTACGAACCTGGAAGCGGGCCTCACCAGACACCAGATCTGCCAGCACCTTGATCTTGGACTTCCCAACCTTCAGAACTGTGAGAAATAACTGTTGTTTATAAGCCACCAGTCTATTCTGAGTATTCTGTTATAGCAGCCCGAACAGACTAAGGCAGGCAGGAAGAGGGCCATCCAATTTGGGAACAGGGGATGGGGAGGAACAGGCCAGTCATAGGGATAATACTTTTTATTTGCAAAGCAGCTATCATTTGCCTTCTCATACATGAAGCAGGCAGGAAGGTATTTTAAGAGTATTTTATGAACAAAGGAACTAAAGCTCAGAGAGACTAAGTACGTGTCCCAGGTCACACAGCAAATATATGGCAGAGCAGGCCTTGAAATAAGGTATCTCTTTGCCAGCCCAGTGTTCTGGTCCCTACAGTGTGTTATCTCAGGGGGAGATGGTATTGGCATGGCCCTAAAAGAAAATATTGGACTCATCCCAGACCAAGTCAGCAATATCCAGGCATGGAGGGAACAGACTGTGAGGAAAAGCGCCCTCACTCTGGGGAATGCCATGCCTACAGGATAACTGTACTGTGGGCCTCCCAATATCAATAGATGCCACAACAATCCTACACTTGCTCACCTGTGAATACTTGTACTAATAGTGCATGGTCATCCAGCTGCTTAGAAACTGTAGAGCTGGTCAGATCTGGTCATTGAGCTGCATCCAAAAAGACTTTCCTTATAGTTTCCAAACCCTAAACGCCAAATGATGCTAGAATGATAACTAAAAAGTGAAGGCATCAGGACAGATCCTAAATGGAACTACATATTTATCATGGACAATCCTCACATCCTTGGGTATCTCCAGGTGCCCACAGCCCCATGTAGGGTTGGGAATAGCCTTTTATATACCATCCAATGAAAAGAAGCATTTCCTTAACCTTCTCAATTGCATTTGACAAGATTCACCTGAGTAACTATGCTACTTCAAGAATCACCTCCTCATGCGTTGGCTTCTTTTTCCCTCCTCAGGCAAAAGATCTTCAAGGAAAGGTTAGTGTATTCTACTTTCAACAGCTCACACCAAATACTCAATTGCTGTTGGTTGGTTGGCCAAGAGCTGATCTGCAAAGCCGGTTATAAACACTTGTTGACGCTGTAGTTATTGTTAAGTCCTCACTGATCACTCGAACAATTGGTTTAAACACTCATTTCAAAGTAAAGAGTTCCGAGAATAACACATTCCTAACTGAGGATGTGTAACCATTCCTGGTTGGAAGGGGATGGACTCCACTGTCTCCTGAGTTATATTCACCTTTCATCCTCTGACCCTGCCATTTGCATATGAACTTTCACCTGACAGAAGTACTGGCATGGTATTTGCTGAAAAAGACAGGAAATTTAAGAATGAAGGCTAGCTTAGAAGCCATAGCCTCTCTTTAGCACATACCTAAGATAGGTCAAGCAACTTGTTAAGAGTTAAATAAGATGACAGTCGTGCAACCAAATTAAGAGTTCCACTAGGAAACCGCCCTGTCTCCCAGAAACAAACTCCCTCAACCATGCAAATATCTATGAACTAAATAAAAATGGTCACAGCTCCACGGCTGCAAAGCTGACTTTTCTTTCCAAATGAACTACTCTTAAAAAGATCCCATGCAAAGCCAAAAAGACCAGGGGCAGGTCAGAGAATTTAACTTTTTGAAACAAGGTTATCAAAACACAAACCATATGAGTGACAATAAAATATTGCTTAAAAAAAAAAACTAATGTCAAGTACTGGTTGAAATTAAAAAAAAAAAATTAACATTAGGAAAGGATGGCCACAGTGTTTCCATACTGGTTGAAATAAAAAAAAAATTAACATTAAGAAAGGATGACCACAGTGTTTCACACACCAACATTTCAAATCACTGATATAAGGCAGGAAGTCAAAAGGTAAGGTAACAGAGTACAGAATCAAGGTCAAGGGTGAGAGAAACAGGAAATCAGACCTCAGTCTGAAAGGAAGAAGCACATTCTGGTAATTAGGGCTGCCCAACAAGGAGGTGCGTGATCTTGACTAGCAGTATGTTCCTCTGCCACGGACAAGTGGACAGCTACAAAGGGTGTGCTGTGAGTGGGAAGATATAAAGGCAATCTAGGCATCAGATATCAGATGAAGGATCAGGATCAAGCTCCTGGTTCTCGAGGTCTCTTCCAACATAGGATTTTCTGGCAAGGAGCAACCAGCACATATCCCAGCACCATATAAAAATTAAACACTGTTTTCAGGATACTAGTAAAGCTTCTTACCTCCTGAAGCTGAGATTCTTTCTTTTTGGAAGACAAATTCAAGTGTTTTTCTAAGATGCCACAATACTTCTCTGTCTCCTTGTCATACTTCTTTTTGGCTTCCTGGCAAAAAAAAAAAAGGAAAGGAGAGGAGAAAAAGAGTAAAATGTTACAGAAACAAAAGCAACCTGGGTCAAGATCTTTCTGCTCATCTTTATAGCTTCATCATTCCCTCAGATCACAGAACAGCAGCAGACAACCCACCTCCTACTCTTCCAATAACGCCCATTAAATCAAGCAACCACCCATCAACAGTCCAATGCTTTTGAGTGTCTATCACAGAGGCACCACTACAATGCTAGAAATGAGGTAAATACTAGTATTTAATAATGGCAAAGCCAAGAATCTACCTTCTAAGGACTTCAATTGTAAAACAGAAATTTCTTGTTTCTAACTCACAAGGATGTTCAAAGCCAAACGAACAAGGAAAGTTACCTATGAAGCTAATCCCAAAGCAGGAAGATCTACTTAGAGCTTAAACGGGACAAGTCTAGACTAAGGGAGACCCAGCTTTAATAGTGTTCAAGAAGTACGTCTTAATAAATAGACCTAAACATTGCTTGATGCAATAATATCACATATAGGTCTTTAAACTGAGGAATAATTCAAAACAAATAAGACATTATCTTCACAAATGTGTTCACTGCAGCATCATTTATAATAGCTGGAAAAAAGCAGCAGCAGCAACATCACTATCAAGGATAGGGTTTGGGTTAAAGTATTGGACATCCAATAAATATAACTAGGAAGGCTAGGTAGTCATATGGAAAAATGCTCGTGATATAATGAAAAGTAATAATAGCATAATACAAACTTGGTACATCCTATGTAGAGTGTGTCTACCTTTGGACAAAGATTAGGTGGGAAAATTCTTCAATGAAAATATTTGAGTTAAGGAAATGAGATAATGGGTGCTTTTCTTCCTCCATTTGGGAAATTTTTATCATTTATTATTGCTTTCAAAATGAAAAATAATACAAATATCATAATACACATAACAATCCCTGCTCCCCCACCAAGTCACTGAGTCATTGAGGTTCTGTTTTTATTCCCCATTTTATAGATAAGAAAACTTAGATCCAGGGAGGTTAACTTGTAAAAAGAGAGTGACAGAGCTGGGATTTGAGCCCAGGACAAGCTGCCTCCAAAGCCCTTGTTCTCATCCACACCTGAGACACACTGTCACAGGCAGTCTCTCTTCTTTCCACATTCCAATGGGGACAGCAGGCAAGGGGGCTGGAAGAAGGTCGACAACAGCCTGGTAAACAGGATCCAATTTACTAACTGAGTGCATCAGTCCTGCTTTTGACTCATGTGGAGCCTACAGGGAATATTTTTCTACAACTCCAAGTCCTATAAGAGGAGAAAAAATTTTGGAGCCGATAAGGAAGCTCAGAGACATCTCTATTCATTTAACAAGGGTATAATGAGCAACCGTCTGTGTTAGGCTCCTTTAGGCACTGGAAATATGAGGCAGAAGTTGTCCCTATACTCATGGTGGGGATGTTCCAGTAGAGGGAGAAACACAATTAACCAGCAAATAAATAAACAGCATAATTACAGACTGCTGCCAGCACTACGAAGGAAATAAACAGGTGCAGTCACAGACATTCTGCAGGCAGGGTGGCTCAGGAAAGGCGGCACCGGCGGGGGGAGGTGTGAGCTAAGACCTGCTCATCACGGGAGGGGCAGAGTGGAGCCTTCTAGAGCAGGAGAGCAGTTAAGTGCAAATGATCTGAGCAGAACACTGAGCCTAAACAGCACAGGAATCACCAAGGAGCCCTCGCCTGAAGCTCTGACAGGCTCCCACCACGTCAGAACATCACTTATCTGGTTAACAGCAAGATTCTAAGCCTCACAAAGTGGGTAGAATCATCACGTACTCATTTTAGCTAACGTATCCATTTCTACAAATCTGAATTTTGCTTGAAAGACTACACTTGTCCCTCGGTATCCACGGGGGATTGGTTCTAGGATCCCCGTGGATACCAAAATCTGCCTATGCTCAAGTCCCTTAAATAAAATGGCATACTATTTGCATATAACCTACGCACATCCTCCCATGTACTTTAAATCCTCTCTAGATTACTTATAACACCTAACAATCTAAATGCTATGTAAATAGTTGTTATACTGCATTGTTCAGGGAATTACGACAAGAAAAAGTCAGTTCATGTTCAATACAGATGCAACCATGGTAGGCCTTTGCACCCATGATTGGTGGAATCCTTGGATGCAGAACCCACAGATACGGAGGGCCCACTGTCTTTACATACAAGAACAATTAAACATGCAGAAACACGTGAAGAAAAAGCCTGAGGAGACATTACTCCTTCAAATATGAGGAGAGGTACAGGCCAGACTCTTGACTCAAGCACCTCTTTTCCTTCACACAAATCGGCGACTTTGAGCTGGGGTTCCAACTCCAACTGATGCTGGCACATCCACTCTCCCAGCCTTGTCAGCAACCCCAAAAAGGAGAACCCTGTTCCGGGATCTTCCAGCTGGCCAGAAATGAGAAAAGGCCAGGGAACATGAGTCACTGGCATTTTGTGACTTTCTGGCAACTCAAGCTTCCACATTCCGTGTTCAAGAAGAGAGCCAAAGCTAAAGGGAAAAGGAAGCGGTTTTCAGCAATAAGACCTCTGCGGGAATAACTCTACTAAGATTTGGATAATGTTCTTAGATGGGAGGCTGGTATTACTCAGTTACTCCAGTGTAAAATGGTGTTCACCTTCCGGGGAGTCCACTGTGGGTGGCTAAATGGTAAAGGACAGAATTAAGATTCTAAAAATTATTCCTAATTCTATATGGACCAACTCTAAAAAAAGCACTGCCCCTCTCCAGGACTTGGCTCCCTCATCTATAAACTGAGGATGACTGGATGTGATAATGCTGAGGTTTCCTCTTTCAGCTCAGAGATTGTCTAACAAGATAAGGCTAACACCCACCTCCTGGTCGGATTGTTAGGACTAAATGAGATAAACCATACACAGTGCTTAGCAAAGTGCCTGGCACATGAAATTGCTCAATAAAATTCAGTGATGACGATGATGGTGGTTGAGATCATGGTAATGGTGATAATGAGGTCCATCATCTATATCTACCTCCTTATTAAAAACGCCACTTGCTTTCCATGTCCCAAGTCGGTAACCCATCACAGCACCTACCACAATTTGAGATTACATGTTTCTATCTTTTTGTCTAATGTCTTTCTCCCCAGCCACACCACCAGCACAGCAACCATCTGCACTTGTTCTCCAGCACACATCAGTGTGCAGTGCAGAGCCAGGCACAGAGCAGGCTCTGATGTTTTTTTTTAAATGAATGAACTGTGTTTATTGAATATAACAGCTAACAGCAATTGACTATACAACAGACACTGTTCTAAGCACCTTATATGAGTTCACTCATTTCTTCCTCATAATAACTCTACAAGGTAAGTACTATCATTATCCCCATTCTATAGCCCAGGAAACATGCACGGAGAGATTTGATAACTCTGCAAGTTTAGACACAAGTGGCAGAAGTGGGATTTGGTCTCAAGCAGTCTAGCTCTAGGGCCCACTCTCAACCATTGCTCTCTAATGTCTATTCTACTTTCACTGCAGATCCCAGCTTCAGCTGCAGGAAAAATGAACTCCCCCAAACTCAGAAATCTAAATGTAGGACCATGGTTATCCCAAGCTCCAGGGTCGTGCCCTCCTCCTGAGCTGCCACAATAGCACAAGAATGCCCAGGAGTCCTCCCCGCTGGAAGGCTTCACACCCAACACTCTAACTTCTGCTTCCTGCAAGTAGCAACAGGTTGTTATAGCAACCAAAGCAGCACCAGAGGGTGGAAGAGGAGGAAGGGTAATTTTAGCATCACACAGGCAGAGTTCAGAAATTTCCACTTGGCCCTCGTAAAGAGCACTTGTTGGCTCTTAGGTATTCTTGAGTTTGTTCCCTAAATTGCCTAGTAGAGGGTTTGTTGTTTCTTTGTGTTCTCTTAAACGTACATAATACTACAATACAAATGTATGGGGGGTGGGTGGAGAAGAACAGGTATACTGAAAGAAAAAAATGACAAAAGGGGAGGCATGAGAAACCATTCCCCATCGTTCCTCAACAGGAATGAGAGAAGAGAGCATGTGTGAGAGGAAACACGTTTTGGTGAGCGACTATCTTATTTAAATTTTTTTATTCTTCTATTTCTTACCATCTATAGCCCCCTCTCCCCACTGGGAAAAGTACCTGCTCCTGCCATTCCAATCACTGGTATTAACCAAAGGGAGCCCACTCAGACTTCTGCTCCTCCTTCAGGGTAACTGTGGTAACCCCCAAATCAGTGCTGAGGCAAGAGGCATCTGTGCTCACAGGGAAAAGCGACTACTGGAAAGATGACTCAGTAAACAGGCCCGCTCTGCCTCTGCCTCAGAGCTCTTCAGAGCCTCCATAGCCACTGCCACGTGTTTTCATGAGTGGGAGGCACCGGCTCCACAGCCACTGAAGAGAAGTTGCTGGTTGGGCCCGCACTGATGGGAACTCGGGTCGTGGGGGGCGGGGGGGGCTCATGGCATTTTCTCACCCATCACTGGGTTTGTGCAAAGTCTTGGACAAAATCTGAGTGGAACAAGACTTCCTTTAAGTTAAATGTTCGTTAATTTCTGATACAAAACCAATGAGCTCCAATTTCTTCACAAATGTAAACTGTAAAATTGGTGGAAAAGTGCTGTAGAACCGGAAGAAAAATCTTTGCCGTGATCCCTCCTTCAAACTACGGCCAACCATCCCTCTGAATAACCCTGACTGAACGAACATCATCTCTTTCAGGCCTTAATCATATTTGTTTTCAGAAAGCAGATGCACTTCGTTGTGTGTGTGGGGGGGGGTCCCACTTTGTTACATTCGGCTATTTTTTCCCACCTACAGGCACCTCTCAAGGCCATTTCACAACTGAGTCAAATCCACATCATTTAAACAAGAGAGCGATGTTGCCTAAAACTCCCTGCAGGTGGCACAAGGGACTGCAGCTGAACGACTCACAGTTCCAGAAAAACAGGAAGAAAATCTTGAAAATCCTTTTGTTTTCATTAAGATTCCAATGAAAACATCTTCCCTGCAGGTAGCTTCTAACACTCTACTGAAGGTCAAACTGGCTAGGGTTTCCTAGTGATTTATCACAGGGTAGGGGAACCCCACTCCACCCCCACCCCACCCCTACCCCATCCCTACCCCCCCCCTAAATACAGAAGCC